CGTTGTCATTTATTTCTATGTATTTTTAAATTTTCTCTGTGATTTCTGTAGTGATCTCTTGGTTATTTAGTAGTGCACTATTTAGTCTCCATGTATTTGTGTTTTTTAGGTTTTTTTTTTTTTTCCTGTAATTGATTTCTAATCTCATAGTGTTGTGGTCGGAAAAGATGCTTGATACGATTTCAATTTTCTTAAATTTTTGAGGCTTGACTTGTGACCCAAGATGTCATCTATCCTGGAGAATGTTCCATGTGAACCTGAGAAGAAAGTGTATTCTGCCACTTTAGGTGGAATGTCCTATAAGTATCAATCAAATCTATCTGGTCTATTGTGTCATTTAAAGCTTGTGTTTCCTTATTCATTTTCTGTCTGGATGATCTGTCCATTGGTTTAAGTGGGGTGTAACGTCCCCCACTATGACTGTGTTACTGTTGACTTCCTCTTTTATGGCTGTTAGCATTTGCCTTATGTATTGAGGTGCTCCTATGTTGGGAGGATATTTAAATCATATGTATTTTATTTAAATCATAAATATTTATAATTGTTATATCTTCTTCTTGGATTGATCTCTTGGTCATAATGTAGTGTCCTTCATTATCTCTTGTAACAGTCTTTATTTTAAAGTCTATTTTATCTGATATGAGTACTGCTACTCCAGCTTTCTTTTGATTTCCATTTGCATGGGATATCCTTTTCCATCCCCTCACTTTCAGTATGTATGTGTCCCGAGATCTGAAGTGGGTCTCTTGTAGACAGCACATATATGGGTATTGTTTTAGTATCCATTCAGTCAGTCTGAGTCTTTTGGTTAGGGCATTTAATCCATTTACATTCAAGGTAATTATCAATATGTATGTTCCTACTGCAATTTTCTTAATTGTCTTGGGTTTGTTTTTGTGGGTCTTTTTCTTCTTTTGTGCTTCCCACTTAGAGAAGTTCCTTTAGCATTTGTTGTAAAGCTGGTTTGGTGGTGCTGAATTCTGTTAGCTTTTGCTTGTCTGAAAAGCTTTTGACTTCTCCTTCGAATCTGAATGAGATCCTTGCTGGGTAGAGTGATCTTTGTTGTTTTTCTCTTTCATCACATTAAATATATCCGGCCACTCCATTCTGGCCTGCAGACTTTCTGATGAAAAATCAGCTGATAACCTTTTGGTGATTCCCTTGTATGTCATTTTTTGTTTTCCCTTGCTGCTTTAAAAATTTTTCTTTTTATTTAATTTTTGTTAGTTTGATTAATATGTGTCTTGGTGTGTTTCTCCTAGGGTTTATCCTGTATGGGACTCTCTGTGTTTTCTCGACTTGGGTGGCTATTTCCTTTCCCATGTTAGGGAAGTTTTTGACTATAATCTCTTCAAATATTTTCTCAGACCCTTTCTTTTTCTCTTCTTCTGAGACTTTTATAATTCGAATGTTGGTGTATTTAATGTTGTCTCAGAGGTCTCTGAGACTGTTTTCAATTCTCTTCATTCTTTTTCCTTTATTATGCTCCTTGGCAGTTATTTCCACCATTCTATCTTCAAGCTCATGTATTTGTTCTTCTGCCTCAGTTTTTGTGTTATTGATTCCTTCTATTGTATTTTTCATTTCAGTTACTGTGTTGTTCATCTTTGTTTATTCTTTAGTTCTTCTGGGTCTTTGTTAAACATTTTTTGTATTTTCTCGATCCGTGCCTGAATTCTACTTCCAAGATTCGGAATCATCTTTACTATCATTACTCTGAATTCTTTTTCAGGTAGGTTGCCTATTTCCTCTTCATTTAGTTGGTCTTGTAGGTTTTTATCTTGCTCCTTCATCTGTAACATATTTTTTTATTGTCTCATTTTTTTTTTTTTTTGGATGGGTGAGACTGTGTTCCTGTCTTATTGGTGGTTTGGCCTGAGGCTTCCAGCCCTGGAGTTTGTAGGCTGTTGGGTAGAGCTGGGTCTTGGTGCTGAGATGAGGACCTCTGGGAGACCTCACTCTGATCAATATTCCCTGGGGTCTGAGGCTGTCTGTTCATCCAGCAATTTGGACTCAGTGCTCCCACCATAGGAGCTGACCCCTGACCCCTGGCCTGGGAACCAAGATTCTGCAAGCTGCACAGGGTGGCAAAAAAGTAAAAAAGGGCAGAAAGTAACAAAGAGTAAAAAATAATATAAGATTAGAAAACTAACAGATATGTTAGAAAAAATAAAATATAAATGAAACAACAACCAGAAAGTAAAGCAGAATCACAGTAGCAAAAATATAGGAAAAAAAGGCTGGAAAAGGTCTTGGCGATGTTGGGTGGGGCTTAGGCATGGGCATCGTTTAGGCGGGGGTGGGGCTTTATGCTTAAGCCCTTGGGGTGGGGGGTGGGAATTAGGCTCAGCGCCGTTGGAGGGGCCCTGATGGGCCTCTGGCCTCAGAGTGGGGATGATCAGGCCTGAGACCTTAGCAGGCTCCCCGTTCACATTTACTCTTCTTCCCCCACCCCCTCTCTCCCACACCCTTAGGACCCACGTGGCAGGAGGGGTCCCCGGATGGTGGAAGACTCAGGGCCTGAGTGGGCAGGGGAAATGCTATCCACGTTTCCCCAAGTCCTCTGAAACTCCAAGGGTCCCTCCAGGCACGGAAACCCCTCCCCTCCCCCAGCCACCACTCAGGGGCACTGGTTCCCTCCAACCTCCACTTCTCTTTCCCCCTCGCTCCCATCCATGTCGTCTCCAGTCACTTGGGGGTTCCTCCTATCCCCTTGGGTGTCAAGGTCCCCCACCAGCCTCTGGTAGGTGCCCTAGTTGTGGGGAGACACGAACTCCACCTCCTCCTAGTCCGCCATCTTGACTCCGCTCCCTCCTCTGTGTATTTTTAAATTTTAATAAATGTCATTGTGCGATGAATCACATTCTGTTTCTTTTCTTACCTAACACAGTGCTTTTGAGCTCTACCTCGGTGTTGGTGTTTGTGAATCCAAACCTGTCTTTATGGATAGGGAAGCAGGTCAGGGAGGGGAAGTGTCTGTTTCTATGTAAAATAACTAGGTATAGAACTAGAACTTAAGTGAATTGAGACCAATCCGGGTCCATTTACCAGTTTGTCTCTTAAAATTGTCCAGATCTTCAAATCTAAGACAACTATCACCACCTTAGTTTGTTTGGGTTGCTATGACAAATGTCACAGATTGCGTTGCTTATAAACAACAGAAATTTATTTCTCAAAGTTCTGGAGGCTGGGAAGTCCGAGATCAAGGATGCAGCATGGTTGTGTTCTGGGAAAGGCTGTCTTTCTGGTTCAGAGCTGGTACCTTCTCTCTGTGTCATCACATGGTGGAAGGCGCTAGGGAGCTCTCTGGAACTTCTTTTCTAGGGACACTAATCCCTTTCATCAGGAATCCATGCCCCTGACCTAAGTACCTCCCCCAACACTGCTGTAATACCATTACCCTTGGGGGTTGGGGTTTCAACATGTGAATGGAGGGAACACAAACATCCAGACCACAATACACAATCATACTTTTTCTTACCTATGAAGACTGATTAAATACCTTTGGGAAATTAAATTGTTTTGGAGAACATGCCAATTAGAAAAGAGTTACATTGTACGAAAGTTAGTATAGATTTCAAACTAATCATTTTTGGCTGTGTTGGGGGTCTTCGTTGCTGCACACGGGCTTTTTCTAGTTGTAGCACGCGGGCTTCTCATTGTGGTGGCTTCTCCTGTTGCGGAGCACGGGCTCTAGGCGTGCGGGCTTCAGTAGTTGTAGCACATGGGCTCAGTAGTTATGGCTCGTGGGCTCTAGAGTGCAGGCTCAGTAGTTGTGGCGCACGGGCTTAGCTGCTCCGTGGCATGTGGGATCTTCCTGGAACAGGGCTCAAACCCATGTCCCCTGCATTGGCAGAGAGATTCTTAACCACTATGCCACCAGGGAAGTCCCTAAAATTTATTTTTTATTGAAGTATGGTTGAATCACAATGTTGTGTTCATTACTGCTGTACAGCAAAGTGACTCAGTTATACATTCTTTTTCATATTCTTTTCCATTATGGTTTATCACAGGATATTGAAGGATTTGGATTTTTTAATTCATTCTTCAGTGGAAGTGTTTAATATAAAAGCCTCCAGAAAAGGTTTAAGTTACCCCTATATTCACCATGTTATTACAGCCACTAGAACTGTGCATACAGGGCCAATGATGATGATGATGATGATAAAAGGCATCTTTGTCATGAGTTAATACTATTTTACCCAACGTAGATATAGGTAATGAGGTCATTACCTTACTAGAGCCAACAGAGGGGATGAGGTCTCTGAGTAATCGTGCAAAGGAAAATGTCCAGAAGAAAATTCATTAAAAAAAATTTTTTTTTTTGGCTGCGCCACCTGGAATCTTAGTTCCCCAATTAGGGATCGAAACTGTGCCTCCTGCAGTGGAAGCACAGAGTCTTAACCACTGGACCACCAGGGAAGTCCCCAGAAGAAAATTCTTGAGAAAACCCATAGTGAGTGGAAAGTAGAAGGGGAGTTTATTTTACACCTACTATGAACCTACTCTGCATTTCTTTACCCCACTTCCATCCTCCTTTCACTTTACTCCAGAAGGAATATATAGAATTAACCTACTAATGGCAAGAATACTATTGAACTATTCCATACAGGGCTGGGAATTCTTGGGCTTCTGAAAGCTTGGCTTGAAGAAACTTAGCACAGTGTCTGGCAAAATGCAAACAGTCTATAAATATTGGTCAAAGGAATGAATATTTGTTGAATGAAAGTTTGTGTCTCTGGACACATTCTGACTTGCTTCTTTGGGTTACAGGTCTCCTGTTTGGCTGGCCTGGTAGGCTGGACCTCAGGCTTCTTTCAAAGAAGAATGGATGTCTCTTTGCTAAGAGGAACCAGGGTGGGGCTCAGGGGAGCAGAGGCTACTTTGGCCGATTTACTGAGGTCAAAGGCCTCTTCTCCAATCAGTGTGGTCTGGCATAATAAACCAGGTATGGGTTTCCTAATTGGGGCTGGTTCATAGTCTTTTCTTTGGTTTTCTAGAAGATTTTGTGATTCAGGCAAAGGCTGACTGTTACTTCACCAATGGGACAGAAAATGTGCAGTTTGTGGTCAGATTCATCTTTAACCTGGAGGAGTATGCACGTTTTGACAGCAACTTGGGGATGTTTGTGGCCTTGACGGAGCTGGGCCAGCCTGACGCTGAGCTGTGGAACAATCGGCCCGATATACTGGCAAGGAGTAGAGCCTCTGTGGATGCGCTCTGCAGACACAACTACAAGCTGGGTGCACCCTTCACTGTGGGGAGAAAAGGTGAGGTATAAGGTGGGGACTGCAGGGATTCAGGAATCTCCCCCGTGTGAGCCTGGCCGTGGCTCTTCTTCCTTGTACTGGGCAGTTTCCTGCTTCAGGATAGATGCGTCAGGAGCAGGGGAGTCTGTATATGTTCTGTCCTCAATTGTGACTCACTCACTATCCTCAGGGGTCAGTTCACGGTGGTCTTAGGTCCCAGACCCCCAGTTCTCAGGGACTTTAAGGGCTAGTGTCTTCCCAAATACAAGGGGCAATTGTGGGCATGTGATAAAGCCTAAATCCTCCTTGTGTTTGAGTCTTTGGGGGTGAGATTGTTCTCACATTTCCAGTTTCTACTTGGGTGATTTGGGAGAGATCTGGGGCTGAGATAACCTTTAATAAAACTCCTGTGTTCGCTTTGTGGATTTCCTTCACCATGTCTCATTTCTTCTCTCCCCCCCTAGTGCAACCAGAGGTGACAGTGTATCCAGAGAGGATCCCAGCCTTGCAGCACCACAATCTGCTGCTTTGCTCTGTGACAGGTTTCTATCCAGGGGACATCAAGATCACGTGGTTCCGGAATGGGCAGGAACAGAGAGAGGGGGTCATGTCCACTGGCCTCATTAGGAATGGAGACTGGACCTTTCAGACAATGGTGATGCTGGCAATGACTCCTGAACTTGGAGAGGTCTACACCTGCCTTGTTGATCATCCCAGCCTGCTGAGCCCTGTTTCTGTGGAGTGGAGTGAGAATCAGCTTATACTTTCTGGACGAAACTCGGCTCAATCTGACTCAAGACCTGTGTTACCTCTGTGTTCATCTTGGCTACAACACTAGTTCTTCTTCCCTCTGATCTGAGGGAGTCATAGAAATTGGGGTCTTTGGGTTGGGGTGGGAGAAAACATGGCAGATAGCTGTCCTTGGATCTTCCAAGAAATATGGAGGTGTAATCACCTTGTCACTTACTTCCAACTTTGGGAACTACTGTCCTCTAATGCTTTGGTCTTGGCATTTAGGGGGACATTATTATTGGCTATAAGAATCATTAACAGAAGCTCCATGAGTACAAACCTTGGCTTCAAAGATGTAGTCCTTCCCTAGATAGCATTGGATTGGTGTCCAGCACAGGTTCTGGGATTTCAGGAAGGTACACCAAATATTGGGAGCTTTTGGCTTACTTTAATACATGTTTTCCATAGGAGCTCAGTCTGAATATTCTTGGAGAAAGATGAGTGGAATTGCAGCCTTCCTGGTTGGGCTAGTGTTCCTTCTGGTGGGGATCGTCATCCACACCAGGGCTCGGAAAGGTAATGAGCTCTGAGGAGTACCCCTGCCACCTGCCCCCTGGCTTTCCCCACTTCCCACTTTTCCTAACATCTAAGATGCAAGGCAGGGAGGGCTGATCATACCTCTCAGGGATCACTGGGATAGTTTTTCCTGAAGCCAGAAACATTCTGGGGGGTAATCGGAGATGGAGTTCTGATACTCTGGGCCATCCCCCATCGCTCAGGATAATCACAACATTTGGTTCTAACTGGGGCATCCTATTTCTTCCTTTTTTATTGTAGGATGTGTGGAGACTGTTGTCTGGTGCTGAGGTAATGTCTCCTTCCTTAGCTTTGGGTGCCAGATCATTCACCCATCCTTTGGTGGAGGGAGGGTCACGGGGATAAGATGTAAGTGACTCTGGCTGGGTGCACTGTCTGTTGAGTCCCTGTGCTGGAGGGTGGGGGACTCACGGGACTTTATCACTGTCCCTGCAGGTCCCAAGAGCAGTTCTTTGTCCACAGCCACATTAAGGTCATAATAGAAGCTTCTCCCCCTGGAGCCTGAAGAGGGATTGAGTGGTCCTGGATTAAGTGAAGGACATTCATGAGGTCAATGTTCTGGATGACTCGTTTCCATGAGACCTTGGAGGAGTCCTGAACTGATTCTAGAGTCGTGTGTTCTGAGATCACGCATCTCTCATCTTTGTGCCCTTCTTCCTCCTCCTTGTCTATACTAGTCCCCATTTCCAAGGACAGTGTTCAGAAATTCCCCTAAGACCTAGCTCCTTCCAATCCCAAACTTTTTACTTTTCTGTGGTCCAGCCCTAACCCTCTAAGTTGTGATCTCCACCTTTCTCTCTTCCAAAGGCAGCCCCACAGTCTTCAGAAGACAAACGTTCAGATAGTCACTGCTCCCTTTTCATTGTTTTTTAAAAGACTTTTTCCTTTAAAATAAAACTGAGATAGAGATTACCACATAAAATGTATAATTCAATACATGACTTAAGGCAAAACCCCTGTAATCAATGCTCAGTTCAAGAAATAGAACTTTTCCAGCTGCTACATAAGTCTCCCTGCTGCAGGCCAATCAAAGCCCACTCCCTCCTCTCAAAGTAGTCATATCCTTGCAAACTATTTGGGCCTTGAATTTCCTTTGAGGGATGATTATATTACACTTAACAATTTAAGAAAAATCATCTGTAGGACTATACAGATTGTCTAATTTTGGGGTCAGCTTTGGTAAATTTTGTGGGGTAGATTAATTAGGGTACAAAGTATTTGTCATTCATCTCATGGAGATGTAGCTGGCCCTGGACTTAGACCATTCTGAGAGTACGTCTAAAGAAGGCTTACAGCTTTTACTTTCCTATTGGAAGTCCTGAGCCATCAGGTAAGAAGTTTGCCTTCATTGCTGATGGGACCATATAGGCCACGTTAGAGGCACTGGAATTGCTGAGGGAGAGAGTGTCTCTGTGTCCCAGTTGAGCCTCCAGAGGACCCCAGCCCCAGCTACCATCCGACTGCAACCACATGAGAGACTCTATGTGAATACCACCTTCTAAGCTCAATCAACTCCCAGAACTGTGAAAAATCATTAAATGGCTGTAGTTTTAAGCCACTAAGTTTGGGTGTAATTTGTTATACAGAAATAGATCATGAAATATTGTTTTTCAAAGAATTTTATCAAAACGACAAATCTACCAGCACAAAATTCTTTATATCCTGTTAGTATCTTTTAATGTTTATAGAATCTGTAGCAATGGCATCTTTTTGTTACAGACGTTAATAATTTGTAATTTGGATTTTTCTTCCTTATCAGTCTTGCAGGTGGTTTATCAAAAAAAAAAAAAAAAAGAAGAAGAAAAATAGAAAACTCTAGTTTGTGATTTTCTTTATTATACATCTATTGTCCATTCTCTTTCCTCTCTTATCTTCATTATTTCCTTTCTTCTACTTTTTTTTGGCGTGTGTTTCTCCAGTTTACACAGCACCATTTGTTGAAGACACTATCCTTTCCCCATTGGATGTTCTTGGCTCCCTTGTCAAATATTAGTTGAATATATATGGAAGGGTTTAATTCTGAGCTCTCTCTTCTGGTCCACTGGTCTATGTGTCCATTTTAATGTCAGTACTATACTGTTTTAATTGCTATAGTTTAAAACCAGGAAGTACGATACCTCTGGCTTTGTTCTTCCTTCTCAGGTTTGCTTTGGGTATTCTGGGTCTTTTGTAGTTTATGATTTTTTTGCTATACAGGTTGCTAGTCCTACTTCATTCACTTAAAACTTGGTATATTAGTCCTTTGCATGGTTATACCACAATTCATCCATTCTCTCTCTTAAATTAAGACTGTTTCTTTTCTCTTCAGTTACTTTTTTTATATGTCATCTTGGGCAAATGTATGAGAATTTATTTAGAATGTTTTATCTAGGATGGAAGTCTGGGATTATCCAACTACCCAAAGGGATATACACCAATATTTAACATATTTTATAATTTTTTGATATACAGAATTTTCATAATCAAGACAAAGTTGTCAGTTTTTCTTTTTTAATTTGGAAATAATTTTGTTATTCCTAACCTGGTGCAACAAACATTCAATTACAAGTCTCTTTAAGCTCATGTAGGATTGTTTCTTTTAGATATTGTCTTAGTCCATTCAGGCTACTACAACCAAATACCATAAACTGAGTAGCTTATAAACAGCAGAAATTTATATCTCACAGTTCTGGAGGTGGGAAGTCTGAGATCAGGATACCAGCAAGGTCGAGTTCTGGTGAAAACCCTCTTCTGGGTTTGCAGACTGTGAATATCTCACTGTGGCCTCACATGGTGGAAGGGAAGACCCTGGTCTTTTTGACCCTTTATAAGGGCACTAATCCCATTCATAAGGGGTCCACCTTCAGGACTTAATCACCCCCCAAAGCTCTACATCTTAATACCATCACATTAGGGACAAGGTTTCAGCAGATACATTTTGCAGAGGCACAAACATTCAGAACATTGCAGATATATGGATGTGGATTTTATTGTTGTCAATCATGTAACATTTGCACTTTAATGTTTTAATAGATACCACCAAGCTCCCACTCATTCATGATGCAAATGTGAGAGAATCCATTCCCACAGACTCTTGTAAACCCTTTATTTAAAAAACCCAGACTATTATATTTGCCAATTTGGGGGAGAAATATATCATCACATTGCTATTTGAATTTGTATTTTTTTCTGATTATTGGTGTGTTTGAGTAAATATTTTATGTTTATTGGCCTTTGGTGTATTTGATTCTGTAAATAGTCTGTATCTTTGCCCACTTTTCTGTTCTTTATTTTTGTTCATTTATTTGTTGGCAATTTTACATAATAAGAAAGTTAGCCCATTGTCAGCCTTGTGTGTTGCAAAGTTTTCTGAGTTTTACATATTTCTTTAAAATTTATTTAATCCATGCAAATAAATTTAAAAATTTTATTCAAATACATATTTTTCTTTATGTCTTCTAGACTTTCTGTCTTGCTTAGGAAGACTCTTTTTCTTTTAAGAAAGATTATTTTAACAGGCTTCTTGAGGTATAATTTACTTACCACAAATTCACTCTTTGTACATGTGAAATTTAATGCTTTCAGTGAATTATAGTATTTTAATTTATTTTTATTGAGGTAACATTGGTTTATAACACTATATAAGTTTTATGTTACAACCTTATATTTCTATTTTTGTACACACTAGAGCATGCTCACTGCCAGATTTAGTTTCCATTCATCTTCATAGAGTTTATCCCCTTTACCCATTTCACCCTCCTCCCACTTCTGGGTATTTATCCAAAGACTATGAAAACTCTAACTCGAAAAGATATATGTGTCCCCATGTTTATCACAGCATTATTTGCAATAGCCAAGATATGGAAACAACCTAAGTGCCCACCAACAGATGAACAGATAAAAAAAAATGTGGTATATATATATATATATATATATATATATATATATATACATATATATGTATGTATACACACACACACACACACACACACACACACACACACACACATACAATGGAATACTATCAGCCATAAAAAAAGATGAAGTCTTGCCATTTGCAACCACATGGATGGGCCTTGAGTGTATGACCCTAAGTAAAATAAGTCAGATGGAGAAAGAGAAATTTGTATGATTTTACTGATACATGGACTTCAAAAACTAGTAAATAAAAACAAAATAAACAAGACATATCAAACAAAAATAAATGCGTAGATACAGAGAACAGAGTAGTGGTTACAGTGGTGTCTTTTGATTGGTTAATTCAATCTATTTACATTTAGGGTGAATATTGATAGATGAGGACATGGTACTGCCATTCTATCTTTTGTTTTCTGGTTGTTTTATATCTCTATTGCTTCTTTTTTCTTTGTGTTTCTATCTGCCATTTTAGTTTGGTGGTGTTAAAGGACGTTTTTCTCAGTTTCCTCTTTTTTAATGTTTCATGTCTCTGCTCTAGGTTTATGTTTTGTTGTTACCATGAGATTTGTATAAAACATCTCATATATAAAATAGTGTCTTTTTTTCTGCTGATAGCATCTTATCTTCATTTACCTATATGACTTCCGTATTTTTCCTCTTCCCTTTTTATGTTTTTGTTGTCTCAAATTATCCCTTATGTTGTGTTTGTTCTCAAATTGAAGTAGCTATAGTTATTTTTATGCCTCGCCCCCCTTTTACCTTTATGCTACAATAAATGTTTGCAAACCTATTCTGATACAGAGCTGCAATTTTCTGATTCTGTCTGTGTATCACCTTACTCAAAGTTGTGTGTACTTTTTACCTTTTTGAAAGCAGCTCTTTTGCCCCTTTCCTATTTGCCAATTTCTGTTCCCCTCTAACCTTAAAAGAACCTAATTATAGGAATGAGATCACTAGGCAATTGAAACTAGCTCCCGACTTATGCTCTCCTGAATGCACACCATGCCTTGTCTAACCTGTTGATTCTTTTCCTAGATAAAAAGCAGTTAAAAAATGACTAGCTCTCTACCCCCAGCAGCTCAACCCCGCAAGCAATCCTGCAGCAGATCACGCAGGCAAGATAACATCTGAAGAGAGAGTCAGCCAGTCTGCATTCAATGGAGAATGACGCAGAACCCAGCCTCCAGCCGCCTGCCTTGGTGATTCACTGAGATTCTTTCCCTCCATTTTTCCCTTTAAAAACTGTCATGACTGAGTAGAATCTTTGGAGTTGGCTTGGGAAACAAGTCCACCTTCTCCCCAGATTGCTGGCTTTTCTGATTAAAGCACGTTTCCTTTCTACTGACACTTGCTTCTCAAATTATTGGCTTATGAGTGGTGAGCAACTGAACCTGGGTTCAGTTACATTTTTATTTCTGGCAGAAGAGCTCCTTCTTACATCTCTGGTAAGGAAGGTATATGTTGATGAGCTCTCTCAGCTTTCGTTTGTCTGAGAAAGTCTTTATTTCTCCTTCATCTCTGAATGACAACCTTGCTGGATAGTATTCTTGGCTGACAGTTATCTTTCAGTATTTTGAGAATGTCATTCCACTCCCTCTTGACCTGTAGAATTTCTGCTAAGAACTCTGCTGATAAACTAATGGGGGTTGCTTTGCAGGTTACTATCCTTTTTTCCCTGGATGCCTTTAAAAAATTCTCTGTCATTGACTTTTTTTTCTTCTTCTTATTTTGGCTGTGCTGTGTAACATGTGGAATCTTAGTTCCCTGACCAGGGATTGAACCCAAGCCCCCTGCAGTGGAAGCATGGAGTCCTAACCACTGGACAACCAGGGAAGTCCCTGTCATTGACTTTTGACAATTTTAATATAATGTGTCTTGGAGATGGT